ATATACATTACATATCTGGAGTGTACAATGTTAGAAATGTGATCCTAAGCTGGGTGTGGTTAGATCCGAGGATTGGGGTTTAAAGCCAGCCCAGGTAGGAAAGTCCTAGAGACTCTTTTCTCCAATAATTACCAGAAAACTGGGAGTGATACTGTGGCTCAAGTGGAAGAGCACTAGCCTTGAGCTGCATTGCAGAAGGACAGCGCCCAGTCCCAGATTTCAAGTACCACGACCAACAACTACAAAAAAGAATATAAGAAAAGGAAAAGAAAGAAAAGAAATGTAATCTTAGCCACCAGATTCATTGCTAGTATAATTCCTATTTTCTCAAGATGGACTCTTTTTTTCCAGTTAAGTCCATTCTCTCATATATGACTTGCATTGGAAACAATCATTCTTTGCCAGAACCAGCCGGCAACGAAAGGGACTCCTGATTTAGGGGGCGAGGACAGAAAAATAAAGACATAAGACAAAGGATGGGGTCGGGAGGTCTGCAGCTCAAGACTGCAGCCCCGTTTATTTTTAACTCTCCTTATTTGTACTATTAGAAGTCAAGGGGTAACCTAAGGTCACCATAGTGCAGAAAAGCAAGGAAATTTTTAATAAAAACAAGGGTGCAGAAAGAAACAAGACCAGGTAATCTGATAGAAAGTAAAACAAATTCTACAGACATAGCAAGGCAAACCCGGACACCTGGTGTTTTTCATGAATGCCAGTTCCTTGTACGTGCCTTCAAGTGAGCACAAGGGTCAAGATGACCTTGGAGCTTTACTGTCGGCTCCCAACACCTCCCCCATCTTTTTTTTTGAAGAAGTGAACCCGCCTGTCTCAGGTTGGGTGGATCACCTTGTCTGCCTTACCCGTCTTTGGGAACTTCTTCAGAGCAAAGCTGAAGACCCTGTCTTAGGTTGGTCAGACTGGACCCCCTCTTACCCGTCTCTGGCTGCAGTTCCTCTCGGGAGAAATTCATTTATTTGGAGCTTGATCTTATGTAACTGACTGGCTAAACTCGTAAGAGAGTTTTGCAGGACACATATGATACAAGGAAGGCAAAGAAAAACCAACAATAAAAGTTCACTGGGGCCAAGCAATGTCATTAAAAATCCTTTAGCATTAGACAGGGAAGGGATATAGTGTTGAAATTGTTCAAACATCTTGTTAGCTATTTTGGCCACTTCAGTGTCCAGTGGTGGGGCTTGTTCTAATCCGGCAATTTGCCTGTGAAGCTGAAAAAGATCTAAAGACAAGTCATTATGGTGCCAGATACCATTAAGATGTGCTACAACCTTTTCCCATGAGTAATTTGATTCATTATATATATGAGGAGTCACACAAATAAAATCAAACCTGGCATGACAGCACACTCCCTGTAAAGTTTGCAGAGCGCGAACTTGTTCTCCTAAAGATAATACTGACTCATATAAGGCTTCGAGTTTTTGTTCTACCTTATCTTCAATCCTACCTTGAAAGTGTAGAGCCTGTGTAGTATTATGAGCAAGCTGATTAAGATAATGGGCAGTTTGTACATTTCGAATTAATGCCACAGCAGCTGCTGCTGAGGAGGCAGCTAACGAAATAAAGGCTAGAACACCAGCTATAAGTAGCCCAACAAACCTACGAGGGCGCATTAGTTCTTTCAATTGTTTTAACACCTGAATACCAGAATCTTCATACCAAGTTTCAGAAATATTTACAGGAAGCATAACAAAAGGTGGTTGTCTAACAATAAGTATGGATTCAGTTATGCCACTATATAAGCAATTAGTAAAAAAACAATTAGAACAGGTAACATTAAAATAATTAGCTCCTACTGAATTATTAAATGGTCCATACATAATAACATGGGGTGGGGATACACAACTCATAATTTTTTTTAAAGGGATGAATTGGGCCAAGTTATATTATTAAGTGCAGCCACCTCCAAACATGATGTCGAGGTTGCCCATTCATCCACCACAATCCAGGATTGAACTTATTAGTAAGATTAGCTCCAGACCAATCCAATAATTGAGAATTAGTTCCAGAAATATTGGTAACAAATGGCTGTAAATGCCTGCACCTTATTGGATGAGGCTCTCCTGTAGATTCTATCTGTGAAGAATTAATGCAACGGGGTATCCTATAGGACGGAGTAGAATTTGCATAAACTAATTGGCCACCTGGCAAGGATGTCATTTGTATATTGTACATTAGATTTTTGTCTGGGATCCGAATTTTATGAGTCATGGATTGCATAAAAGTACAGCCTGGAATGGAACTTTTAAAATTGGTGGTAAAACATAAAGGAGTTCCAATACCTGAAGCTGAGAAATTTCCTATTTTTATATATTGGATGAAAGGATCGGGGGCTGTACCGTATGCTGCTCTATTAACATGAATGAGTACGTCAACTCCCTCCCAGGTGGCTGGGTGCACAGTCGGGGAATCCGGCATGTAAGCCCAATGGGTCAGCGTTTGTGTCATCTGCATAAGTCTCCACAATCCTAACGCAGCGTTCAGGCAACCAGCTGGCGTCATTTTCTTCCTGTGAGAAAACACAAACATATCCTCGACCCTATGTTAAAACCGTATTGGGCCCATGCCAAGCACCTGTTAACGGATCCTTCCACTTTACTTGAGCAAAAACTCTTTGCTCTCTTTTTTCCCAAAACCGCTGTGCTGCAGAAAGGCCATTACAATCTAAGTTTAAAAAATTTAGTACAAACAAAGCATGAGAAAGAATATTAACAGGAGAGATGGGGTATAATTCCCCACCTTTTAATTTAAAAATTTGATGTTTGAGCAAACCATTAGCTAGTTCAACAATTCCTTGACCTTGAGGATTATAGGGAATACCTGTAGAGTGAATAATCTGTTAAGGTTTACAAAAATTTTGAAAAGCTTGTCCGACATATCCAGGACCATTGTCAGTTTTAATATATTTAGGAAGTCCCATAGTGGCGAAACAAAGCAGAGAATGGGAAATACAATGCTTGCTAGTCTCCCCAGCAACGAGAGTAGCTATAATAAAATTAGAATAAGTATAGTAACATGAACAAAGCGAAGCCGTCCAAAGGATGGAATATGAGTAATGTCCATTTGCCAGATCTAATTGGCAACTAAACCTCGAGGGTTAATTCCAATGGAGGGCACTGGTAAGAAAGTAGTACAACTAGGACAGGTCTTTACAATTTGACGAGCTGCCTCACGAGTGATTTGGAATTGTCGGCGTAAAGCACGACTGTTTTGATGATGGATGGCATGTGATTGTTTTGCCAAATCAATTTGAGTAAGAAAAACTTGAGTAGTCTTGTTTGTAATAGCATTGCCCTCACTTAATGGACCAGGAAGTTTAGTATGGGCACGTATAAATCCAAAATAACATGGACAAGTGCGAGAGTGAAGAAGAAGCTCTATTTGGCGAAAAAGAGTTTGAATAGTGGAATTTGCTGTTCCAAGAAAGGGGACAGTTTCAATAACCCGAAGGGCTCGAATAACATAATGACTATCTGAATATAAATTAAAAGCACTAGTAGGCAGAAGCGTAAGGGTTTGTAAAACTGCTGGAAGCTCAACTTCCTGGGCTGAAGAAAGACCAGTATCCCAGGATGTAGTATTTCCATCAATAGTAAGAGCAGCCATTCCATTAGATGATCCATCTGTAAACACTAAGGCAGCCAAAGAAAGAGGTGATAAAGATACCACGTGAGGAAATATGAAAGTATAAAAAGAGGCAAATTGAAGCAATTTGTTAGAGGGATAATGATGTGAAATTGTGCCCATAAAGTTAGCCCAAGCAATAGCCCAGGAATCACAATGAAAATAAAGCCATTCCTGCTGTTGTAATGTATAGGGAATGTAAATAACATGTGGATCTCGTCCAAGATATTTACAAGATTCCACACGGCACATGTGAACTAAAGTAGCCACCAATTCATAATAAGGAGTTAATACTTTTGAAGGAGTAGCAGATAAAGAAAGCCATAGAAGGGGTCCCTTCTGCCAGAGGACCGCTGTGGGAGAATGAGGTGTAGTTAAAATATAAGCTTCCCAAGGAGCTGAATAATCAATATAATTTACATTTTGGGAAGAGATAGCAGAATTTACTATTTTTAAAGCTTTAGCCGCTTCAATTGTTAATTCTCTGAGGGATGCAGGGTTAGGGTCTCCTTTTAACAAATCAAATAAAGGTTTTAATTCAGCTGTAGATAATTTAAGATAAGGGCAAAGCCAATTAATATCTCCCAGAAATTTCTGAAAACCATGTAAAGTAGGCAAATGAGAAGTTTTAATCTGTAATTTTTGACTAGTAAAATAATAAGGACCCAAAATATAACCAAGTTAAGTGAACGGAGGATGCTCTTGCACTTTATCATTGGCTACAATTAATCCAAAAGAGGTAAGGTCTAGTTTTAATTGTCCAAAAACTTGTCGTAGTACTGTAGGGTTTAAATGAGCTAACAATATATCATCCATATAATGAATAATATAAACGGAAGGAAATTTTTGGCGAGTAAAAGAAAGAGCCCGGGCTACAAACTTTGACACAAGGTGGGGTTATTTGCCATGCCTTGAGGCAATACTAACCAATGGTACCGTTTTATGGGTTCTTTAAAATTAGTAGAAGGGACACTAAATGCAAAACGTTTGCAATCTTGAGAGGCAAGGCGTATGGTATAAAAAGTCTTTTAAATCAATTATTATTTTGTATGTATTTTGTGGAATGGCCATTGAGGAGGGCAAAACTTGTTGTAACGGCCCCATAAGTTCCATAGTGACATTTACTCGCCGGAGATCTTGAAGAAGTCTCCATTTTCCAGATTTCTTTTTGATAACAAAAATAGGTGAATTCCATGGAGAAGTAGAGGGAGCTATATGGCCCAATTCCAGCTGTTCCTGCACCAGCTGCTGGGCAACAATAATCTTTTCATTTGATAGGGGCCACTGATCCACCCACACCGGAGTTTTTGATAACCATGTAATAGGATCGGCGTGAGGGGCAGGATGAGCAGCAGCCCCCGCTAAAAATATCCTAAACCTAGTCTATTTGGTCGGGGCTGTGGCTGAATGGGCTCTCGAATGCCTTGTTGATCAATCCCTAGTCCCCCTGAAGGTAACAGTCCTTGATCTAAGAGTTGTCGAGTGACTACATCATTTGGACTCAACAAATAAACTCCCATTTTTTCCATAATATCTCTCCCCCACAAATTAATGGGCAAATGATCCAGCACATAAGGCTGAAAAGTTCCAGAATGGCCCTCATCATCTTTCCAATTGAGAATAGCACTGCATTGCTGTGGATCTATAGCATGGCCAATTCCTTTTAAGGATGTGAGAGAGACAATAAGGGGCCAGTGAGAAGGCCAATATTTTTTCGCTATTACAGATACATATGCTCCAGTATCCAGCACACCTTGAAAAGGCTTTTCTTGAATATAAATTATAAGTTCAGGCCTTCCTTGTTTTATATTTTGAATCCAAATTACATCTGAGGCCCCAAAATATTTTGTGCCTCTAGGGACAGAAGTAACAGAATTTCCAACAGAGATTAAAGGAACTAGGACCAGCTGAGTGATTCTTTGCCCAGCAGAAATAGATATAACTCCAGTAGGCGCTGAGGCCATAATTTTTATTTCTCCAGTATAGACTTGATATATCACTCCTGGGGTAATATGTAGGCCTCTCAATTCCAAGCTACTGCGGCCTAATAACAGACAAACAATTCCTTTTGGAATGGGGCCAACTATGCCCGTAGGCAGAGCTTGAACTCCCATCTCAGGAGTTAATACTGTGTAGGTGGAGGAACAGAGGTCCAATCCTGCACTTCCTGGGGTTGCTCTGAGGAGACTGGAAACCATTTGTTGTTGTTGCTGTTGGTTGCCAGCAGGTAGGCTTGAAGCCGTGAAAAGGACGGGGCTGCCCCGTTTTTTTGTTGAGGGGCCAGGGGCTGGCCCCTCTGCCAGTTTTCCAGAATCGGATGGCCAGCACTATCAAAAGCAGATTTACAATCCCTGGCCCAATGTCTTCCCTTATTACATCGGGGGCATCTCCTTAGTTTAGCTCCCTTTTTCTGATTAGGACATTGAGTTATTAGATGGCCCATTTAGCCGCAAGAAAAACAGCTGCCAGGAGATCCTGCAATTCGGGGACATCTTCCTCCATTTTTGCCTCCCTGGGGAGAGCGGAGGAATTCAGTTATGGTTTGTCCCTGAAGTGCAGCAGCCAGTGTGAGGCCCTGCATATAGGATGAGCCAATGTCAGCACAGAGCCGAATATAATCAGTTATTCCTCCTTTTTTTCTAAGTGGTCTAATGGCTGCTTGGCAAGCTGCATTAGCATTTTCATATGCCAATTGTACAAGAACCATACCGGCATCCCCATCTTGGATGAGACGGCTTGTTGCCTCTAGTAACCGAGAGACAGTCTTGATAAGGTTCATCTGGTCCTTGTCTAATTTTAGAAAGATCCTCAGTCTTATTAGAGTTAGGAAGTTTCTTCCAGGCACGCTTAGCAGCGGCATTAATCTGAGCATATGTGCCCACAGGGTAATTTAACTGGGTATGGATGTCATTATAAGCACCTTCCCCAGCAAGCTTTGCAAAAGTAGTAGGTATATTATTAGCCCTATTAACCTCTGCTGTGGCCTGACACTGTTCCACAAATTCAGACTTCCACAACAAGTAATCTCCTCCACTAAGATAAGCTCTGGCTAATTGTTTCCAATCATAAAGCATCAGTGGACAATGTTTCCAAAATTACCTGCGTAAATGGAGCTGTAGGTCCATATTGAGCGCAAGCGTTTTTCAAGTCTCTTATTTGTTTAAATTGAATAGGTTGGTGAGTTCTTTGTTGGTTTTGGTCCTCCATTACAGGAAATAAATGAAAACCAGAAATATCCTCCCCTCTTTGATCAGCCTGTGATAATGAGAGCTGCAAGGCACTATGCCTGGGAGGGCAAATAGCCCCTGTCCCAAGAGGGAATTCATCATTAGGAGGACTAGATAACTTCAAAGGCCTGGGCCAACTAAGCTGCGCAGACCGAGTAGACTGCCCCTGGGGAATAACAGGCAGAGGGGGTGGCGGAAAGAAATCTGAGTCCCCTAGAGCTGTTAAAGAGGGCTCACAAACATTCACCCTTAAAGGGGGTCGTTGCATTGCTTCAATCTGTGACAATTTTTTTCATAAAAGAATTTAACATTTCCTCAAAATGGACTGTTTTATCCTCAATAGGCTCATCATATATTTTTTCCTCAGTATCTGAGTCATCTGACTTTTCCTCAGCATCCGAGCCATCTGAATTTTTCTCATTTTCTGACTCAATAGATTCAACTTTTATCAATGTATTTGATTTCTTTTGGGCAGCAGTATGTGCTCCTGGGGCAGGGCGAGACTCGTTACCCTGTCCAACTTTCCTAATCAACTGATTAAATTTTATTTGTTCATGTCTGGGGTCCAGAGAGTCTCGAACTAAATTCCAAAGTGTAAAAGCATCCACTGGGGTTTTTTCAGGGCCACTTGCATCATAATGCTCCTGAATCATTTTTCCTATTTTTTGCCAAGTTTCTAAACTAATGGTTCCTTCCTCCGGAAACCAGGGGAATACTTCCTCAATAAAGCGAAAGAAGCTCTCTAATTGACTCTGTCCAACTTTTACTCCTAGAGCTTGAATCATGCCCTTAAGAGCCTGCACATATAATGTGCGGCTGTTTCCTTGACCCATAATTTCTTACTCCCGACTATACTATCACCCACTCTTTTTCCGGACACGTACTCTTACCTTAGCGGGGTCCTCTGCCTTGATCCCAGGTTTTCAGGGTCCCTGTTCAGGCGCCACTTGCCGGAACCAGCTGGCAATGAAAGAGACTCCTGATTTAGGGGGCGAGGATGGAAAAATAAAGACATAAGACAAAGGATGGGGTCGGGAGGTCTGCAGCTCAAGACTGCAGCCCCGTTTATTTTTAACTCTCCTTATTTGTACTATTAGAAGTCAAGGGGTAGCCTAAGGTCACCATAGTGCAGAAAAGCAAGGAAAATTTTAATAAAAACAAGGGTGCAGAAAGAAACAAGACCAGGTCATCTGATAGAAAGTAAAACAAATTCTACAGACATAGCAAGGCACACCCGGACACCTGGTGTTTTTCATGAAAGCCAGTTCCTTGTACGTGCCTTCAAGTGAGCACAAGGGTCAAAATGAGGTTGGAGCTTTACTGTCAGCTCCCAACAATTCTTCCATTCTCCTTTTTACAAAATTACGTGATTATAAAGCGTGATTTAGAAAGGAAGTGGCTTCACGTTCCACATAGAAGTAATGCTTTCTCTATATCACTCCCATAAATCTACATACTCAGCAAAAGTAGGTGCACTGAATCCTTTGGGAAGATTAATATTGACTTCATCATTCCTTTGGGGGAAAATTAAAGCCATATTTGCACTTTTTTGTTGATTGTGGGGATTGGACACTGATCCTGGGCACTGTCTCTCAGCATTTCAGCTCAACTTGAATGCTGTACCACTTTAGCTACAGCACCACTTCTGGGTTTCTGATGGCTAATTGAAGATAAGTGTTTCATGGACTTTCCTGACCAGGCTGGATTTGAACCACAATCCTCTGGTTTTAGCTAGGATTAGAGGCAAGAGCCACCAGCACCCGGCTCATATTTGCATTTATGTTCACTTAATGACACTATGTAGACAGAGAATGGAAATTTGAACCAAATGATGACATTGCAGCTTTTCAGAAAAATTGAGGTAGCAATAAATATCTCCTCCTTTTCCATTTTGTTACATTAATGACTCATGAGCTATGGGACCCTTACATTAGCATCCTGTGACATATGTATAGATGTATTTAGTATTAGGAAATGTTCATAGAGAAATATAGAAAGACAGATTTTTAGAAAACAAAGGATATCAGGTATGAAAGAACAGCATAGAAGGAGGCACATTTATCTAGCCTAAGAGATTTAGAATGCTAAAGCAATGAGGAATAAGCCTAGTTGATAACTAGTTCTTCAATAACCAAAAATGGTTCACTAGAACTGTTTCTGCTATACCTTAGCTACTATCATTTTTTTGCTTCCATCTGGAGTTATTCCTTCTCTTCTATCATGACTGTTAATTAGCTTCTGCCTTTTTGGTGCTATGACTGGTCAAAATGATTTCCAAATCTCACTTAGACTACCCTTCTCATTGTGATTAGCAGTGACCCCTCTCAAAATCCTGGAATCTTTGAATTTCCAGAATTAATCTTCACCTGACATCTAAGCACATTCCTGGCATTAATTGCCCTGAGCTAATGAACAAAACTTTTTTTCAACACAGTATCCTAATATAGGTAACGTACATGAATTAGTGACTATTATCAAGTATCAATATGGAAGGAACAATTATATATTCCAAGTTTGGATTCTTTATTTTGCATTTACTAACTAAATGTTCATTGTTGTTGTTGCTGCTGTTCTTGTTTTGGCAGTCCTGGGGCTGAAACTCAGCGCTTGGGAATTATTCCTCAGCTTTTTTTTTTTTTTTTTTTTTTTTTTTTTTTTTTGCTCAATTCCTACCACTTGAGGCACAGGACCAATTCCAGTGTTTCTTTTTCTGTTTATGTGTTACTGAGGAATTGAACCCAGGGTTTCATGCATGCTAGGCAATCACTTTACCATGAAGCCACATTCCCAGAACCCTAAATGACTCTCTTAAGATGACATTAAATTTTCATTCCATAGCTATGTATCATAATTTTAACAAGAAATTTTTGCTAGAAAAGGTCATTGATCACAGTACTGAATCCAGTACGGCTAGATAGACAATGAATAACTGTCACGGTTCACGGTCTAGCCAGGGCACAGAGGGACTTACCTCATGGAGCTGATACAACAGACTGAGCGAGACAGCTCCTGACCCACAGCCCACCTCCAGAATGAGAGGGCCACCTTGGTTCCAACTACATTGGGGATGCTGGGCCAACTCCTCCAGCACCCATTCAATCAGTTCCTGAGAGAGAGAAAAAAAAATAAAGAAGGTCAAAATTACACTTAAGCCAGGTACCTGTTGCTCAGGCCTGTAATCCTAAGTACAATGGAGGCAGAGATATGAGGATTGTGGTTTATAGCCAGCCCGGGCAGGAACACCTGTGAGATTCTTATTTCCAAAGAACCACCAGAAAACTGGAAGTGGCCCTGTGACTCAAGTGATAGAGTACTAGCTTTGAGCTGAGGAGCTCAGGGAGCTGGCCCAGGCCCAGAGTTCAAGCCCCACGACTGAAAAGAAGTGGACTTCCCACCACAAGAAGTAGACTGAATAACACCTATTGTCCTAGGGAGCATGGCAGAGAAGTCAGGCCGAGCTTCCTGTCAGCTGGGAGTCATAAGTAGGTCACCCAGCTTCTCTGTGCCTCAGTTTCCCCAGCTTCAAATCTGAACAAAGTGAAGGATCCTGTTCCTCATGGGGATTGGGTATTAAAGAAAGAGAGTCGTGTTTTGTTTCATAATCCCATACCTGTCACAACATTAATAACACACACCATCTGAGATCTTTCTGGGTATTTTCTGTCAAATACTCACAGAACTGCCAAGAACCGTATCTAACAGCCCCTAACTCTGTGCCTGGCCCTGCTCTAGAGATCCCTCTGTATTAATAAATTGTTTTCTCAAAACTGTCCCATGAGAAGATTGAAGTCCAATGGTTGAGGCCCAACCCAGAGCTTCACCTGTGGTCAAAAATGGGCTGCTGTGGACTGAGTTTGTGACAGTCCATCTAAACCACTGACTGAGCGTGGCTCTACATGTCTACCATCCCAACTACAGAGGACTGAACCTGGTGGCTCATGTCTGTCACAGATAGGAGGACTGTGATCCACCCCAACCTGAGCATATATTAAGTCTCAGAAATGCCCAAGACAGAAAAGCTGGTAGAAGACCTGACTGGCAAGCCTAAGGCCTTGAGGTCAAACCCTAATATACCAAAAAGAACCAGAGTCCCAGTGCCAGAGGCTCATGCCGATAATCCTAGGTACTCAGGAGGGTGAGATCTGAAGATCACAGCTCAA